CATTAGTGCTGGCGAAATATCGACAGTTGACATCGAAAAGTTTAGCTACCTACTCGTTCGATATTATCATCGAAGATCAGATCAAATCTATTCCGTCAATAGTTTCGAAATTTCTTGATGATACCTAATTTAATTTTCTGTTCTGGACTTTTGAGGACCTATACTACTTGGTCGTGGTATTAGAAATAGCAGGATATATTTTGTTCAAAACTATTAATTTTGTAAATATTTCTCGAACAAACCTATGGTAGTTTGTTCCCCATGCAAGGTTAATAAATAAATAACATTAGTCGGCCGTTTGGTGTAGTGGTTCAGAACGGACTACTATACCGAGAGGTCCCGGGTTCGATTCCCGGCCGGGCAGAAATTGAAATGATGAATTTTAATTTCTGTGACGGGTCTGGGTGTTTTCTATGTATAATATGTATGTATTTACAAAAAAAAAGTATTTAAGTATGTTTATCCCGTCGTCTAGTACCCATAGTACAAGCTTTGCTTAGTTTGGGACTAGAGGCGCAGTGTAAAATGTCCAAGGATATTTATTATTATTATAAATAAATCTCAACGCTGCCGTTTTTTGGGCTTTTTGTAGGGATTGCAATCCAGCGGCGTTTTCAATCCAGCTGGATTCTTGCTGGATTGACCTGAATCCAGCTGGATCCAGCGCGGATCCAGCAAAATGTGGAACGAATATAAAAAGACGACATTTTTAAGACTTTTTTTTTATTAAGTAACTAGCTTTCCGTCTACGGTATCACCCACGTGAAAAAAGGGCTGTTTTTAGGGTTTTCCAGGAAATTATTCGAATTTTTCTCGCCGTAAAAACCATCCTTGGACTTCAACGAACATTTAAAAAAAAATGGTCCAGGCGTTGTTGAGGTCTGCGCTTACCAACACATATTGCGATTCATTTTTATATTATCGTACTTCTTACGATAATCTATGAAATACGGCTAATCAGTAGGACAAACTAGTCTTAAAAATTCTTATAAAATTAACTACGAAAAGGACCGTAATTTAATCTGCAATAAATTTTTTGTATCAATAGAAGTTACGAATCCGAAATAATCTTCTGCGATAATTAGGCAGTTTAAAATCTGACGACAAGAGACTGACCATGTCTTTTTTTGAATCCTCTGGAAGTAAGACCTTAGAAAACAAACTTTATCTATAGTCTAAACTCCCAACCGCACAGAACTGCATATGTAGCCGGCTGCTGAGAATGCCCTTTCGGCCTCTACACTAGTCGGTTTTAGGATCATTAAATAGTCATACACCATAGATAAATGTTCACCTCGCACTCGTTCGGTCTCATAAACGCTCATTTCTTTTTTCAGTACCTTTTCGTAATCTAATCTTGGCTTTGGCTTTTGTTTATTAAAGTTCTCCTTCTCTCTTTTAAGTTGCATCTCAAACTCTTGCTCTAAAGTCATTTTCACGGGTTCTGCGTCATCATTTAGACCATTCTCTTCTAACTCCATGATATCTTTATCTTCTTGCACCGGCTCTACAATATTATTTTGTTTATTTACTCGTTTTAACAAAGTTTTCATCTCCTGTCGCATCGCATTCTTTTTTGGCAAAGGAAAATAGACAGTTTTTTTACTTCTTCTTCATACTTTTTTGGATTTTTCAAGCACACTAACGTACTAGTAACTTCGGAGAGGCGCCGTTCAACGCACACAATAACAGAACGGCAACTTCACCGCGGCGTTTTGAAAATGGCGGCAATTCGAAACTAAGCAATAGAAAATTATACGTTTGCGGATCCGCATCGCTGGATCCAGCACTGTATGCTGGATCCAGCATGTTTAAAAAGGCGCTGGATCCAGCTGGATTGCTGTATGCTGGATCTAGCAATTGCAATCCCTAGCTTTTTGGTCGTAATTATGTGCGTTCGCATCGAAAACCAACCGCAGTTTGTGGTCTGCTGATGGTTTATTGGTCAATTATAGGCGTCATAATAATAATGTACTGATCTTTAGCTAGAGATATGCTGTGGCCGTGTAAATCACTGATTTAATGATCATTAGCTGTTAAAATGTGGTTTTGTTTAAAATGGTTTAGTGACCTTCAGTTGACTCATTCATGTTCTGTCTTGTCATCCTTGTTTTGGTAAGTATGAACCTATTGTTATTTTCGACCACAATAGTAGAGAAAGAGTGTTTTTGATTTTCCACCTTGAGCACCCGTTCTAATAGCACCTACATGAATAGCACCTGGCTTTTTCCATTTATAGCACCTATCGATATGTTGGGCAGGTGCTCTAAGTGGAATCAAATTTATTTTTACGGCGTATTCCACTTAGAGCATCAATTTTTCGAGTCTTCAATAAAACAAAAGAGCATTCTTTAGCAGTTTAGTTAATAGCAACAATCAAATTAAGTAGATCCTGCTAGACCAAGTGAGTCGAGCGAATGACAAATTTTAATTACTTAAACATACATATTTATATTTCTTTTTCGCTATAATACGTCCTGTATATTGCCGATCAAGTCATGACATTTCAAATATTATGAGATGGTCGGCATAGAGGTGAAATTTATTTAGTTACCGCACAGTCCGCTCCCTCAGTTGGGGCGCGCGCGTCGCGCAGGATCATTCACGGTCGCTGCCTTCGGCTTTAGGCTTGATGTACACTAGTGTTTCGTCTAATTAAGTCGAATTTAGCAAGTATACAGTCAAACCTGGATAAGTGAGAACTGGATAAGTGAGAAAACTCTGTAAGTGAGAGTAATAGCCAGGACCCGTCATTTTAAGCTCCCAAAACCTCTATTAGCGAGAAACAGAAACCTCTGTAAGAGAGAGTCGTTTTTCCCTCATAGACCTCCGTAAGTGAGACTGCTACTTATCTATACCTCTATAAGCGACAGTCGATCTTTATTTACAAATTTAACATGTGCTATTTTATAACTCATTCTTAACTTTCGTGGAACTTCCTACCATTGTTTTTGTATTCTCCTCAATATTGTTCCTATTCTATTTCGTGGAACTAAATTTAACTTTATTGTTGTTATTTTATCGCATTCTTTTCAAATGGACACGTGTGCCTGTGTACCGTCCTGTTTGTCAGACTTACTCAGTTTATAGTTTTTAATTGCGAAGGAATTTGTTATTGCTGCGTACCCCTATAAGAGAGAAACGCTACCCATGTACCTGCATTAGCGAGAAACTCGGGTTAGTGAGAAACCTCTATAAGCGAGAATGAGATTGTGCTCCCTTGAACTCTCGCTTATCCAGGTTTGACTGTATTTGGATTTTTGACACCTTATTTTATCAATCTGACGACAACTGGATAATAACCGTGCCAGATTTTTTACATAAGTACTTACCTACTTACACAGTTGCAGTTTTACTTTTGAAATCTTTTAGTTTCCTCAACTGGTTGTAATCACCAGATTATCTCTAAATTTTTGAATATGAAAAGAAAAATAAGAAGCTTTTAATTGCATTAAAATGTGTTTAAGTACTTTTGCAGATTACAAAAAGCAAGGTAGGATTATAATGCCACTGTGTAAAACTTGACGTGCTTATATGAGTGATTGAAATAGTATTATTTGCTGTCTGTGTTTGCCCTAAAACTCCTGCATAGTGAGTATAGTGACACAAGGACCAGGAGACAGGTGGAAATTAACCGTGTGAACATGTCTTTAGTGCTGCAAAACTCGACCAAGTGTGTTGTAGGCGTAGCTTTATATTTTTATTGGCAGAAGTGAACATATTTGCTAAGTTTGCTTTATCAGACTATTTGAAACTATAGCACCTATAAAAGTTTAGTGTAGGTACTTACTTATATTGTTAGATTTTTCTAACTTCTTTATCTAATTAATATAATTTCAATGAATATTTTTCTGCAATCAAGCAGCAAGGACTTCAATCATTCTCGAAGAATTTTCGAATATTTAATTTAAACAAATCATTATTTAATATAATATGCATTATAATTATCATCATTGTTTTAGCATTTTTAGAAAATACAGACTGCGCCACCTATCTGTTCGAGACAATAATACATCGTACCTTGACTCCACGAGATTACTAGCAACTACAAGTGCTTTTTAATTCATCTCACGAATAAAGATGGCGCCACTAAAAAACTAACAAAGCTTTTCTCCATTAAAATTTCATTTTATAAACATTAGAATTATAAAATACTGTTATGAATTTTAGGCCTTAGAAAGAAAAATCACATGAAATGAATTTTATTATTAATTGGGAAAGAATATTTCAACACGACAACATACGAGTATAATAAGTAGGCCAACATTAAAAAAATACGTTTGTAAGCTTCATTGTCTAGAAATAAATAATATCGTGAAATTTTAATTTTGTTTCATATCTACAACTAAACATACCTTTATCATAAATTAAAAAAAAACTCCTTTGTAAAATCTAAAATATTTTCCCACAGTAATTTACATACTACGACCCATTCACATATCACAGCTTATCGACAATCCGCCGCACCTTCCCTTACAAAGGCTACATACATTTATCGCTTACTTGTATCATAGAACAAATAGATAATATTTCCGGAACTAGAACCTAAATTCCTTAAGTTTTTTAAGATAGGTACAATACTTATTCTTACTGTAGTTTTTGAAAAAAAAAAATAACTTTTTTGAAAATGGCCCTGCATTTACCACTACTGCATAAATGCATAATGATAAATAAATAAACAGTAATATCATACGTTATTCTAAAGTAATATGAATTATAAATATAAAAAAATACTGAGTAATTTACGTTATAACAACCACAAATGTGGCGACCACCCGGAAGACGTAGCGTAGGCAGGCCTCCCACTAGGTGGACCGACGATCTAGTGAAGGTCGCGGGAGGTGCCTGGATGCGAGCGGTGCAGGACCGGTCTTTGTGGAAATCCTTGGGGGAGGCCTTTGTCCAGCAGTGGACGTCTTTCGGCTGAAACGAACGAACGAACCACAATTTTTTTTTTAATTTTATGTTTAGTGAAATTTCAGCTCTACCTATCATAGACGTCACTTACAAGTGTAATGATCAAACTCCTCAACACACGTGTCACAATGAACGAAACAACAGTTCACCATTTTACACCGACACCTCGATGTTATATTTTTCTTCGTTGTAACATAACCCCTGTTACAGCAAAGCGTTGCACAGTTACGTCTGTCTTTACACACTCTCCCTTTCGTACTCGCACACAAGTTTGGAGATTTCTGCAAATACAACAGCTGTTTCCTATCCATGGTCATCTTCTTCCGAACTTTTGGCATGATTGCCCTCTTCGACGTGTAATTCACAACCTTCTTTTTAACTGCGTGATGGTACTGCTTTTTTAGCACTCCCATCGCAGAATTGAAAGGGCCAAGCCGCTTCCAGCAAGTCTTCGTTGTACACGAGCCAGAGAACCCGTGACATTTGCACACTTCCCTCATCTGCTCACCGATAGCATCGATACCAACTACAACGTCTTGCTTCAAAATCTCAGCAATCTGATCGGTTCCAGCGTGCTTGAAGTCTAAAAAGTTTCTGGTGAGGCGCTGTCCTTGCTTGAAATCATCTCCACAACCGCTGTTTTTCCATGTGAAGTTTCCATGCTTACCGAAACTGCCTACGCATGTGCATCGAGTCAGATCACCTGAAGCACATGCCTTTGCCACAGCATGTGTAATAGATGCAGCCATTAAAGCATGCACGAATGCTGTTTCTCTGTATATCCTATCAAAGATCCTTTTCTTAGCATTCCTATTGAATATGAGTGAGCAGTTCCACCTATCGTATTGGAAGGTTTCTTCGCAAGCTGCTATCGCTTGCGTTCTAGCTATTTCAAGGACATGGACTAGGCCAGGATTACGCAAGCAAATCTTTGTCTGTCGACGGGAAGATCTTATGGTTTTGCATGCACCGGGATACATGACTTGAGATCTTTTTGTGAATAGTTCTTCAACAGTTTTCTGGAGGACTGGTTGTGATCTGTAAACATAAATGCAAAATATTTTTTATGCAAAAGTAGCAGTATCATTTGATCATTGGGACATAATTACGACCACGCCTGTCAATACAATTTTAATGGTGAGTTCGGACTAGTATGCCTAAAGAATAAAAAGAGTAGAGATTAAAAAAAATGGATCTCTAAAAACCAGTAAGTTTATAATTCAAAAGAACAGAATACAAATTTTAATTTTACTGCCGCTGATTACTGTTGGATGAATAGATTTTAAACTATTGTTAATTACCTATCTGCCAAGTTTTGAAGTCAAAAGAAATAAGTTATTATCTAAAACAAAAATTCTTTTCAAACTGGTACGTACTGACTCACCCCTCAACATTTTTGGTGGCTATAATCGACACGGTAGAAAATAGGAGCACATAAACAACACTACAACTAAACATTTTTTACTAAAACTCTTACAAATCACATAATTACTTCAGATCACTTAACTTTCGCGACTCGAAAGCGTCATAGTTGAATGCAGTTTGAAAATGAGCTCATCGTAAAGACAAAGCCGATAGTTTATCAAAAAGGGCGTGAGCATTCCTAAAATGGTAATAGTAAACTCAGAAATCAATATTCACACAAGATTGTGGTTTTTGAGCAAATGTTGAGTCAAAATTGAGGCAAAACGCGCTGAGTAGACGTGCATTTTGAATTATTTAAAAGCTCTTAAAAAGTAGTGACAATCAAAACGTAACACAAGTATACTATTTAGCTTATCATGAAGCCGAGGGGTTAACGGGATAATTAGTAATTTGTATTTGAAATGTAAAATACCTATTTGAAAGCAAAATTACATTTATTAAAGTCGTATCCAAAATGACTTTAATAAATGTAATTTTGCTTTCAAATAGTTAGGTATTTTGCATCTCATAAAGTAGAAAATTCTAAAGTTTAATTTCTTACAATTATTTTTAGCAATAGGCTCAGTATGAAGTGCATAGGCAGGATGTAACTGATCGTTCATATAAGTTCGTAAACGGTATTTGGTTAATTAGTTTAGTTAGGTAAGTATGAATGACACATTAGTTGAGCGTAACTTCACGTAACAAATACCTGCCTTGTCTAGCATAAAAAAAAACTTATGTTGTAAATACGGTAATTTACGTGCTATTCTGCTAAAAAAAAATATACCTATTCTGTGTGATGTGTTCTAGTTTGACCTACTGTCTCGAAATAAAATTAATGTAAGTCCTTGGGTCAGTAGTTCCACTAGTTTTCACTCAAACTCAAGAGACGTCCCTTTAACGCTAAAAGCAGTAATTATGGCCCAACTTCTCCGAAACATTACCTTAGGGAGCCATCTGTTCTTAACATAAACTATACTAAGGCTGAGTTCCACCACCTAACTTTGACCGTAACTATGATGATAACCGGTGTTTTTTTGTATGGAGTTTGACAGATTTTTGACGTTTGTCAAAGTTAAAGTATGATGGTGCAACCCAGCCTAAGTCAAAGGAGTACTCAGTAACGCTACAAGTTCCAGCCGCGTAACCTTGCTTTTCCTGTCATTTTGTAATAGAGAAACTTAATAATGTACTTTTTAAACTTTTATATCTCCCTTTACACTATCCTTTTGATTATTTTTCCCTGAGTAAGTTTATAAGTTACCTAAAGTACCTACATAGTTTCAAAAATGTAATTATCTAGTAAGTAGGTGAAATACAGTTATGTTATTGACATTGCCAATCCTATTAAATTGAAAATGAAGGCGCATATAAAATCTTTGAAGCAAACAAATACAGCTTATTTTCCTTACTTAATATCATAGTGATATTAAATGGGATCACTTTATTTATATTTCCGTTGAAAACAAAATAAAGGTAACATTGAGATCGTTAAAAATATCTTAATGTAACCTTTCTTGATGTCACCTAAAAATAGAACAATTTATTACAATTAATTCTAAGAACTTGTATTAAGCTTTGACATTAAGCTCAGACACACCCTAACACGCTAATTTGAATCCAGACGTCTAGACAGCCTCTGGGACCGAGTATTGCTTTTATAAGCTTTCACGCGGAGGCTTTTCCTTCAGGACTTCCCGACTACGAGTATTTTTATTGATCAATAAAATTGTCGTTTACGTAAAGTATTGGTTTAGAGTAGCACCAGGCCTGTTCATCTCCGCGAGTTTACATCGAAAACAAAACACGCACGATGGCCCCCTACCGGATTACTATTCGACAAGGCCTCACATACGAGCGAGCATTGACTCACGTACGCGTATTCTTGTGTATGATGGAAGAAAATAAAGAAAATGGTGTACTAAATACTGTGCAGTATTTAACTGCCTAAATAATAATAAAAACACAGAATGTACTTTTTTAAGTTGCCTCAAGACACTGAGAGGTAAATAAGTAGTTAATATTATTCATGATAGATTCCGAAGTCAGCCCTATAGCTTCGGCGCAGTGCCGATCACTGACGTTTGCCAACAAAATGGTGCTTGACTCTTGAGACAGGCTAAATTACACCATATTGTTAATGACATTGAGCATACATTTTTATAAATACCTTCGCGAAGTAAAACTTCTGTACGTAGTACTTATTATTATTCTGTGGTAGCACCCGTTATAGATAGGTTTTAATTTGATTATGTCTAAGGCTGAGTTGCACAACCTAACTTTAAGGGTAACTATAACGATAACCGGTGCTTTTTGTACGGAATTTGACAGATTTCTGACGTTTTTTATAGTTAAAGTATGATGGTGAAACCCAGCCTTAATGTCTCATCTTGTCATCGAAGGTACGCATCACGAACTTTTTAATTTCCTAGAAACAAAAGGAGAATATGGCCTACATTGGAATAACTCTCAAGTAAGAACACAACAGCTCTAAAAATAATTATCTTTAGTAGTAGGTACAACAACTTCTTGTCAGCGATTCTAGCCTAAAAAGTTGAAAGACAAACAATTAAATAACATTTCCTTTTAAAATAAGAAACTTATTTGCACCCATCAATTTACTAGCAACATTCAAAGGAAAATCATAGATAAATCGATAACATTGCCAATGACACTCGATTCACGGAGCGATTAAATCTAATCGATGTGTCAACTCTGCATCCGATTACACTGAATGAGATTCAAATTGGCACGTGCACGCTGTATCACGTACATTTACACGTACGTGTATGTTTCATGTACAGACGGTATATTCGGCTGAAAACTGTAGCACTTTGCGTAATGGTAAAAGGTACTACCTACTTTGCAACAAAATTTAATGTGATATTGACTGTACAGGCGTTCGTGACACCCAAAGTGGCCAAAAAGTTGGTAACAAAGACGTGTTGCGAACTTTTTGGCTGCTTTGGGTGTCACTAACTACTTGACGCTGGCTGTACAGACGGCATATTCATCTGAAAACTGTAGCACTTTTAAGTGGTGGTAACAGATGCTATTTTCGAACGAAAATCTGATGTTTTATTGCTGTACAAACTACGGCACGTCAAGGTAACCACTGCGGATTCTTGTGCAGCTGTTGTAACAGGGACGAATTTGCAACTAAAATGGGTAACCTGATGTGCTGTCGTGTGTACATACATAGACGGTTTCATAATAGTACACAAGACCAACTAATCGATGAGTTATCAATTTATTGGTGGTTTACCCTTATGTAAAGATTTGTTTCTTATATAACGTGTAGTTAGTTTAGTACCAAACCGTAATGTGTACATAGTCGTTACATAATCTGAGATCAGTTCAAGATAATCCTGACAAGTCTGAACATATGTATAATAAGCTATACATTTTAGGAGATTTACGCCCGTATTCACAAACGGTACTTGAATAAGTAAAGCAGCAAATCGAACGCACAGCGTTGAATAGACCTCTATGATTGGTTCATGTGCCACCCTATGCGTCCACGAGCACTGTGAGACCTCATAGTAATGTTTGTGAATATGGGCGATAGTCTACTTTACATATACTTCTTGTATCTCTATGTAGTAGATACTTAGCTCCTCCGTCTGGAACAGACAGAATGTTTCAACTTCCCTTTCATATTTCTATCAAAATTAGTTAGCAGTTACACGAATAAGATTCAAATTCACATTATTTATTAATAAGTCTATACTCATATTTACTTAGTTATTAATTCCAGAAACCGAGAAATCCTATTACCTACAAGAAATTGTAATTCGGAAATGAAAAACTTTTCATAGCATTTTCTTTGTCGTCTTTTTCCCAACCTGATCATAAAAACTGCTTTGTCGTCTTATAGCTAGGGCTGGGTCATAAATAAATTCAATTAATGTTGAAAAAGTACCTTTCATACTCTTTATCAATTGAATTGGGACTCTTTTTTTTTATAGTAAGGTACCGAGGTAGCTACAATTTTATTATTTTCTTAGAACAAAAGCCAGGTTTTCTATTTTGATTGGCTGTAGTGTAGCTCTCCTGAAAGGTAAAAATGTAAAGCGCTTCACGCTTCTCAATCCAAGTGATACTAGTCCAGCTTTGCACCCGACAGCAATATCCGCTAAGAAAAATGAATGCTTATCACGAGGAAAACGTGATAGTTCATTTCTTGCACACTTGATTTTTATTTTTTGAGATACTAATTAATACATCTAGCCTACCTTGAAGGTTGGAGAGTAAATAATATAATTAGTTAGTACTAGCGGCCGCCCGCGACTTCGTACGCGTGGATCCCGTTTTACCTCCTTCATCTATCTTACGCGGTTTAGATTTTTTCATACAAATATTTTTTCCCGCTAACTCCCGTTCCCGTGGGATTTTTACAATATCCTGTTGTAACTAAGCTTTAAGTTTACTAAGATACCTGCATGCCAAATTTCAAGCGTCTAACTTAAGCGGTTTTGATTTTTTCATACAAATGTTTTTTTCCCGCTTACTCCCGTTCCCGTGGAAATTTTGCAATATCCTGTTATAACTAAGCTTTAAATTTACTAAGATACCTGCATGCCAAATTTCAAGCGTCTAACTTAAGCGGTTTAGATTTTTCATACAAAAGGATTTTCCCGCTAATTCCCGTTCCTTTGGGAATTTTGCAATATCCTGTTGTAACTAAGCTTTAAGTTTATTAAGGTACCTGTATGCCAAATTTAGAGCGTCTAACTTAAGCGGTTCAGATTTTTCATACAAAAGGATTTTCCCGCTAATTCCCGCTCCCGTGGAAATTCCTAATGCCCGTATTCACAAACGATGCTTGCTTAAGTGAAGCAGCAAATCCAACGCACAGAGTTAAATAGAGCTCTGTGATTGGTTCGTGTGTCACCCTGTGCGTCCACGCGCACTGTGAGACCTCACAGTAATGTTTGTGAATACGGGCATAAGTATCCTATAACCTGCCCAGGAGTACGAAGAATAATCGTACCAAATTTCGTTAAAATCCATCGAGTAGTTTTTGTTTCTATAAGGAACATACAGACGGACAGACAGACAG